CACACACACACACACACACACACACACACACACACACTTGTCCACACAGAGTCACAGTGGGTTTTTGCAAAGTGCTGACAAAGAAATAACTTTAATTCTGCATCTAAGGATCCCAGCTGAAAAGAAAGCACATGACTAACAGCTTCTTGTTAAAGCTGCACACATTTCCTAAACACATGTCATGCACAGGCACTGACACACATACATGGTTTGAAATGCACACAACAGCACTCATCATGCACACACAGTCTTAAATCATACACACCCTATCGCACAAGCTCACACGATGCAGCTAAGTTACAGTAGAGGGACAGAGACTGAAAATCACTGCTTATTACTTTGTCTGTACTGTAGCCAGGCTGCCAGGCTCCCCTGAGGTTGTAGAAATTGACTTGTCCAATCCCGCCTTTAAACACGTTATTCTTCCTCTGCTTCTTCTGCCTGGTGTTTGCCAGAGGGACTGTGCTGCCACGTAAAAAGATATTGGCCGCAATGTCAAAACTCACCAGTGGACAGAACTCTGCCGCTGTAATGAATACTGCCATGCATCTCACATCCGCCTAGGTTTTAATATCCCAAACGTCCTCTTCCTCTGCTCCGAATAATGAATATTTAATGCACCTGTCATTGTTTAAAACTCTCTGCACAGATTAAATGGTCTAACTTGATTCATCATGTGTGTTGCACACATTTTCTTACTTCCATTACAGTGAGGCTCCCTGCTAAGTGTAGCAGTCCACCTGCGGAGTGTAGCCATTGACTTTTCCCTTTTTTGCCAAAGAGTAGCCTAATAAGAGTCTGGTTCTTAACTATCTAATATCGAACACAGATATCAATATACAGCACTACTTCCTGCAGTAGTGCTGTCCTAATTGTGCATTATAGCGCAATGTTCCCAATTCATTGATTTATTTATGGCCACCACGATATCAACTTTGACCACCACCTATTGATTTTCTCATTTCTACAATACCAAATGGGTAAAATTGTATTGCATTATAGAGCTTTTGAGTCACCTGCAGAGAGCTGCTCACATTTTCCTCACATGCATTGTATAGATGAATGCATTACGGTTGCAATGGATCACATACATCAGTTCAGACCCAATTACAGGTTTAAATCATAGATGGGATAATTATTCGGATCAGCAGTTTCATAATGAACCCAAGCTTCTCATAATAACATAAGCTTTCTAAGTTAGTGTTGTTCTCCATTGACTCCTAATAGAGCTGTCTGCTATTTTCCTTCTGCTCATCTTCCATAAAGTTTTTACTGTCCACAGACAGCAAGACCTCTTAGTTTCAGCTGCAGTTGTTTGCGTACCCACAAGTGCATACAGTTTTCTTACAAGCGAGAACTTCATCATCACTCACTAGTCTATGTATCTGACACTTGGGCACTGTTTCGCGTCAAAGCAAACTGTGTGCGCGTGGCACCACCATAGGCTGGATCAATCTGTGGGAAACATCTTATGTGTCGTCCCACCACAGACAAATTAATGTAATATCACTTCAAATATGTGACAATGCTAGTTGTATTAGCATTCTCATACGGCTGTCTCATGGCACAATGCCTACACATTAGCAGTATCTATTTAACCAGGAAGCCAAAAATGCACTTGGATATACCATGACCTGGATGACTGAGAATCTCCACAGAAAATTGAGTAGCAGCACCTGAGGGAAAGTAAAGGCCCCCACACACACTGACTCCGCTGCTCTCTCTCATACAGACTAACGTCTCTGAGTCGCTACAGTTTAAACATTGTTTGAAATGATGCCACAATATCAACACTGATCATCATAAAATGATCGATATTTTCCTTAATGAGTTCAATCTTTCTTCAGAGCAGCACGCGCATTCATCAGCTGCTCGCTCTCTTCCCCTCTCTCTCACACACACATCGACATCGAAACGTATACAGGATATCCACAGGTTAGATGTCCATCTGTAAACCCTGTTGGAATGGAAATAATGCTTTTCCTTTCTTTAGTGTCTGCATAGTCTACTTACTGTATGGAGTCTAAGTTAGCAGTGAAACGAGAGCAGAAAGACTTAACATTGTATACTTAAGCATTTGTTTATTCATCGCAGATCATATCCTCGTCGCAATATTCAAGGTTTTTTTCTTAATGTTGTGCAGTGCTAGTCGCATTTGCACCATCAACTGCTTTAAGATGCACAGTTCACGTGGTCGCAGCTGCTTTGATTTAACTGCATATCTGGCTTGAAATTTATGAAAAAATTACATTAAAAGGTAGAAATTAAATTGTATATTACACTTGCATGAATACTTTGCAATTAGTCTGCTGTTCATATGCGTTCCAAACTGTTGGGGTCAATCTGAACAGATCCATTACACCACTAGTAGGCATGCATGTATGTATCATTTGGTTCCTATCATTATTTAAGTCTCTCTTCTACCCCATGACACAGAATAGACATTTTTATACATACTTAAGAGCATGATTGGATGGTTACTGCTTAATTGACGTTAGTGACAACCCCCAGTTGCACATCACTGGTTTAGATGATGGCAACACGGATTGTTCCGAGAGAGTAAATCACTACACAACTCCAAACAACACAACAGCATGTAACCAGTCTTTATCCTGCATTTCGTTAATGTTGCTTAGTTGCCTTGACGTTTTACCTTGCTCTAGGAATTCATTTCTGATTGCAGACACACATTGCAGTAAAGCGTACTGTATTCCTTCTAATCTTCCCAGTACACACATCATAGACTGCACCGTAGTCACATGGCTTCATACGGTTGAGATAAAGTCCCATTCATCTGCAGCTGACGCCTGAAATGGAAACATGTGGATATGAAGTAATTGACTTGTCCAAGGCCTTCTCAGAAAATGCCTCCAGCTCTTCTTTGCTGTGGTGTCCAATCAGCAGCGTTGAGGATGACAGGAAGTTAACTTGCTTCTTGTCTGAAACAATGACAGAAAATGCAAACGCTGTGTGCGCATATGCTGTTTTAACTTTCCCCCAGGGCTCACATTTATGTATTGTGTCCTATTAGAATATTAGGCCTACATCCTGTGTTTCGTATCTTTGCTGAAGTTGGATTGGAAGATTTGTGCAACTTTGCCGCCAGCCACTATATTGCCTCTGAATAATGAGTCGAGTTGTCCTGGAAACAGAGATAATCTTTTTCTCCTACAGGAAATAGAGGGAACACAGTTTATATTCAGATATCTTTGTTTCATGGTTTTTTCTTTTTGCATATTTAATAGCGTCAGTTGACAGCTAGGCCAAGCTTTGGGACTTTACAATGTGATAACTCTCCTTTTTGTAATAAAACAGAATTCTAGGCCAGTGTTTTACCCAGAGGACGCAGAAGAGGCAAATGCCCTACATTCAGTGACTATTAAAGGTCCTTGTTTTGATAATCTGCCGTGTTTGGAATCTTTAACAAGCTACAATTCACGTTCTACAATAATCCTTTGTTCTAAAGTTGTATCTGCTTGTCTTTTCTTCTCGCAGGATGAAATCCTGCTTTGAGAACTCTGTGCTATATTTTGCTGTGTTAAGTGTTATTTAAGAGGACCACAATGAAAATAAGCCTGAGGGCTTTATTGTATTTTTATCCTTTGTCATTTCTAATACCTGTAATGACTGCGTTGCAGCGTTATAGGTGTCTTTAATATCTAATAAATATCACAGTCTGTTTGTTAATCACAGAAATTGACATCTTGTCTTCCATCCCAGATCTCAAGTGGTTTTCCAAAGCTAGTCTTGCACTGTAGTCCTCACTCTCTGCCCTTTTCATTGTCGCATGTTAATAAGCTTAACGTCACAGCTGTTATTGTGTTTAACGGTGTAATTGATCTTAAAGGACAAAGCCTTTTTGAAAGTTTTAATTTTCCCTGAGATTAAATCATTGGGATCTAAATGTCATGTGTAGTACCCTTTAGCGTGGCACGGAAAGCTATTTGTTTTCATTAGGAAAGGTTTGAAAAGTTGCCCTTTTTCTTGATCTGCAGTGTAACATTCCAATGAACATTAGCAGCGGAAAAAAAAGATACAGGTTGATTTAGAGAGTTTATTTCTACAACCAAATCTGATCAGAGAGAGATTTTTTTTTAAATGCGCAGAATCCTTTCCTTTGATAATAATAGATTATAAAGTCATCAGGGAAAGAAAATCATATTTTTTCTTTTTTGATGGAATGTTAATCAGAATTTAATACTATTTGGTAGATGTTTTCAGCACCATTCACGCCACGGCCCTGTTTAGACCTGGTATTGTGTATTTGCATTTAGAGCAGGAAAGTGATTTCTGATTGAATGTTTTCTACACGTGATTGGATCACTCAGGATGGAACCAAGTCTGAACCAGTTCTACGTGCCTTTTAAGCTGTGTCTCTGCTATATCTGATGAACAAGTGGTGCGCAAAGAGTCCTATTTGGAAAATATCTCGATTAAGAACCTAAAATTTTGGTCTGAAGCAGAATTAATTGTTTGGAAATCCTTCTAATAACTTAGCATTAGCTTTAATACAGTATAGTAATTTATCTTCCTGCTGTACATGTATACTGTTTAAACTGTGGGACAGTTTCTATGTTTCTGTCCCACTCAAATGGCTCACACTCCAAACTCCCCTCTCCCCCTCAGGTCTGCTTCTTAATCTCTAATGATGATTAATGTGGGCTGTGTGTGTATTGGCAGCTCTGTGTTATTGGCATACTGACAGGGTTGTTAAGATGGATAACTATGTAAGTCTGTGTATGTATGTGTGAGTGTGGGCCTCTCTCCTCCCTTTTTTGTTTTGCAGCTTTGTCGTGACATCAATTGATTTGTATGCTGGTCAATGGAGAAAATGGATTTGCAGGAAAGGCTGAAAAACAACTCCTAAATTAAACTTAGTCTCAGATTTTCTGTTTGTTGAATCTATTTGAAACGTGCAGTGAACAATGAAAAACCACACAAAGAAAACTCTGTTTTTATGAGCGTGATGTAACTTTGTGTCTGTGTGTGTGTGTTTGCAGGAGATGGTTCGTCGTGGGGAGATCTTGGATGACAGCATGGAGGATGAGTTCTACCTTCGTCGCCTGGATGCCGGACTATTCGTCCTCCAGTTAATCTGCTACATAATGGTGGAGATAAGCAACTCTGGGATCTCACAGGTAAACACACACGCACACATTCTGGTTTGCCAAACAAGTTCTCTCTCGCATTAATTATTGTTACGAGAACATCTGATCAGACAAGATATAAAAGCAGACAGGACTCAGATGGTTTTTATGGCCCCTGCAGTCAAATGGCTCATTCCCTTCACCACTAATTTGGGTTTCACTGGTGTCTTGCCGTGCTGTGGTGTCTCAGAATGGACACAGAAACTATTTGTTCCCGCAGTTTAAATAGCTGCAATCAAGCTCTGCTCACTTCATGGTATTTAGGGAATAATCACAAATTAGTTTCCTCTTAAAGCTGCAGTTCAGATAACTATCCATCATGCCTCCTCTTTGATATTATAACTGAAATTTAAATTCTCCTCATGTCTCGTCAAGAAATATGAGCTGTAATAATTCTGTGCATATTTTTCCATTTAGTTCTATTTTGTCTGTGGATAAACATGAACAAAAACTCAGCTTCAAGCCTTTTGAGTGGGTGTCTCCAGTGGCAGTGACTGACATCTCTCAGCCAGTGTTGCCTGGAGAAATGCTGACAGTTTCTGTGGCAAGCTACTGACTTGAACACATCATAGCCTCAAAGTCCTGTATAGCTTACAAACACTGATACAAAACCAGCCATCCATGCATTCTACATCTTGAACAGGTCACCTGATACAAAAGCTTTTTTAATTCTCAACAAGCTCTCCTGGTTTTAGCCATCCACAAGCTAACTAGGTTTCAAGGCCTTCATATATCAATGGAGCCGAATTTCGACACATAACTATTCACATCAAGCGCAACAATACTCATTCGGATTGGTTAGATGTGTACATTACAAAGGCTTAACTATGGAAAAATCCACTTTGGTCTGAAAAAATATACTCAGCAATATCACTCAACAAGATGTGAAAGCTTGCATCAACTGGATAGTGTGAATAATTGCACGAGAAAATGCGTGAAGTGTGCAAAGGTTTACTCACAAAATTAAAGCTGTTAGCAATGATTCTCACTAGATGTTGCTTTTTGGTCATGTTATTTCAACAACTGCTGAGTCAAAGTTGGCAGCTTCCATCTAGCACCATTTATGTCCCAGAATGTTGCTAGCATTAGCTGTTTGGGTCTAATTGAAGAAATGACTTTGTCCTTGAATTCAATTATATTAGACAAATCAAATATATAAACACAATTTTTTTTTTTTTCGCAAGAGCGAATTAAAATTTTTACCTGACACTTTTGACTCTAAAATGTCAGCATGTTTCTGATCCTCGTTTTCTGTCCATGTAGCTGCAGCAGAGAGTCCATCAAATCCTCAACCTGAGAGGAGGCTCTGTCAAAGTAGTACGCCACATAATGAGAGGTAAGTAACACAGTAAACAATAATCATCACATCACTTAATGAAAAGTATTTCAGGGGCCATGTACATGATATACACCTGTATCAGGCAATTCAATCATTCCAATCATATGATCTAAATGGTTTTTCGGTCTATATAATATAGTCTAATATGATGCAGAGATATCTTGAAACATGCATTTATTGTGCAATGATATTGCAGGGATATTATGGAAAATGTTTTTCAGACTATATTTTCATGGACCTTGACCCATCACCTTGAAAAGTTAATTTTCGGAGATACCCTGCAAGTAATGTTGATACCAAATGTCCTGAAAATCTGTCTTTGTATTATTGAGTTATTTTAGACACACACATACACACTTATCTTGGTAACAAACAGATAAATGCAATATAGTGTGATGTGGAGGAAATTTCTAACCAGTTCATGTAGTGATGAATTCCTCCTGCTCATCTTAGTTTCTCTCTTTTAACAGAATCTGATCTCTCTCACCGGTTAATGAATCCCAATCAGTTCTGCTTTGCTCTGGTTTCTCTGCAGTAATCTGCTCTCTGAAACTCATTTCTTGCAGATGTTTCACAACAAGGAATTATTCTGAACTGCTGGAGCCTTTTAATGTAAAACATGTGGAGGAATTGTGAGAAAATGAATTTGGCTTCTCACCAAAATAAGGTGAAATCTACGCAAATAATGAGGCGGGTTAGAAATAAAGGCACCTCTTTCTTAATAGCCTGTTTCAAATAAGCAAGTTCCTCCCAATAAAGAACATAATCAAATGTTTACATAAAGAACCCTTCCATATGCAGTTACTGAGAAATCAAATATTTTACTCCATCTTTTTGTCATTCAATTTCTTGCATGAATTTCGACCACTAATATTTAATCCCATTAACAAACACACATGGTTGTCTAAATAAAACTCACATTCCCTCTGTGCCTTCATCAGTTCTTCAGGTTGACCTGGCTTCACTAGAAAGTCAAATAGACGAGATAAAAGGTTTAAAAGATGTGTATTTTTGCAGTATTTTGTGGTGCTCCTACATCTAAAGCAGACCATATTGCTTCCAGAGAAGCATTTTATTGACACATTTTTTTAAATCCTGTTTTTGAGTGCTTCTCACACTGGCAGGGAAGCAACATTTTGGGGGGGAATGTTGGTATAATCATTGCTCTTTGGCTGTGGCAGTCGTTTGATAGCAAGCCCATGCTGTTCGCCTGCCAAAGCGGTTGCGCTGGAATATAATGAAATGCTATGAATAATGTCATTCTTCCTTATTCTCTGGAACAAAGAAATAAACTTGGGCCAACTTTGGAGCCTGGGTGTCAAAATGCAGCTTTCTTTTTTTAAGGTTGAGTAGGTTTTGTTCTTTATAATCCAATATAAGCCAGTGTGCCGATGTCAGTTCAATACATCCTTCCTTTGCAGAACTGATCACACTGTGCTGTTTATGGAGACCTCCTGCAGCATAGGAATAGAGGTGGATATGTAATAATGATGGTCCTGACTATCATTTAATATAAAAACCAGATTAAAAGGAATGAAAATAAACGAAATTTAAATTAATTTCAGCTATAAACACAGAATACAATCCAGCATTTAAACCACCTGTGTACAGATGGTAAAACATTTAGAAGAAATGCCTCCCGGCGTATAAATATATGTTATTTGTTCATATTGTCACTGTGAGAGGAGCACACATTGTCAATCATTCTCTTTTTTCTGCTGTCCTGTCGTTTTTGTTTCCTGTTTGCTTTTCAAAACCCTGGCAGTTGTGTTATTTTCTTCCCGGTGTGACATCCATCCTTCTTGTATCATTGTCGGATAAAGCCCGAGGACGCGGCTCCACTCACACACCCTCTGGCTCTCGGTGGCATGTAGCACTGTAGATAAAGCCATCCGTCACACATGGCAGTGCCAGCAAACATGGCGGTTCTCCAGTCTTTATTCTGTGTGTGTGCATTTGTGTGTTTCAGCGTGTGCGTGCATTTGTGTGCATTCACATATTCATCTGCATATTTGCATAAAGGTGTGCGTTGCTTGTCTTTGTACTTTTTGCTTACGAACATGATTTTTTTGTTTGTCTGTGCATATAAATGTTTGCCCGTAACACGTCAACGTGTTTCTGTGTGCATGCCCTTGCTTGCTTTTATGTGCATATTTTCTTACATACTAATCTATGCAGATATGTACATGTTGAGTTTGCTCCTTTGTGATACAGTTTGCATATTGTAATCATGTCTGCCCTTGCATGTTTTTGCATATTAATGGGCATCATACTTGTCCTTGATCTTCTCGTGGACTTATTTGTCATGCATTGTGTTGTGTTTGTGTGTTTTAGGCTGAGTGTATACGCACCTCTAATGTCATGAAGCTGGTGTCTCCGTCCATCTGAAAGTGTGTGTGTGTGTGTGGTTCACAGAGGTGTGCCCTCACCTTTTTCTTCAGGCCACACTGTGGAGCCCTTGCCCATTTAAAGTGCCCCTCCCGGTCAATGTGAAGACACAGAAAAAAGGTTAAGCGCATGCAGAGTACGTCGCCGGCTCTGATATCTTGACCTTAATGACGTTAGTTCACTGAATGAGAAGCAGTTCTGCTGGAGGGAAGGATTAGCACACTGCATGGGAGAACATTGATTTTACTGACTTGGTGATAATCTGCAGTGATGTTTTCCTCTTAAATGAAACTTCAGATAGGTCATATCACAGGTGGTTAAACTTTGCGTAATAATAAAGGGACCTTCATTGTCTTTCTTTGCATCAATAAGCAGACATATTGTTACATCTGGTTATGTTTAACACTTCAATGGGCCTTCTGAGTTGATAGTAAATAAACGGAATGGTCAAACAACGTATGATGAAGTAAAAACACATTACTAGCCAGTGGATCATGTTATTCACAACCTTTTGCTGAGTAACATGAAGAAAACTTCCATACATTGAGTACATACATTACCTCATCCATTAACGTGATTTACAACTGAGTTGCGTGCGGTACATTTTCATTAATGTTGATGACAACTCAATTGAGGAACCGCTAGAGGCTGAAGTTATATATTGTACGTTTCTGCTCAAGTAGGATTAGGTCGTGCCACACGTTGCCTGATGGTGAAAGTGTTTCTTAAGAAGAGCCAGGCGGTCACAGATAGGAGGAGAAGTAATTTTGTTACATCGGGCGTTATATGAGTTTTTTTCCCATCTTTAATCAAGAGCAGTGTGACAGCAGGATTTGCTGATTTCACATTCAATATTTGGAATACTCAAAACCCTCTCACAAATATTCCCTGGCTTTGCTTAGATTTGCTGCTCTCCAGCTTCTGCTCTTCTCCTCAAGCTCACGCTGCTTCTGTGCGTGCATGAAATGTCTGCTCTTTGATTCTTCCTCTGCGCTTCCATTTTTCTTTTGTGCTTGGATTTTATTTAATTTATTTTTTTCCGCAAAAATCTGTCAAAATTCCCCAACCAGTAGAATTCTAAGTGTACGAATGTAACGTCGTTTTGTAACCTGATCTTGAAAGTCAGCAGCATCTTGCCTGACACACAACATTTCTCCAGAGATACACAATGCACTTATTGTAATGAAGCAATATGTTGCCCAATGCGACAGTCGGGGTCTTTGATTCGATGGATACATCGGTGATAGTTAATGCTGCCATTTTCATTTAAAGGCCTCGGAAACACACTTCAGCAGATGGCTGGCTGAATGTAGCCATACATATTAGCTGGTGTTTTTGTCAAGGTGTCCTTTTTAATGTTTTGACGCTCATGTTTTAGAGACATCATTGCACTCAGCATTATTTCAGACCAATGTGTGTGTGCGTGTGTGTTATTGAAACCTAGATATTAAGCATCGGTTGGTCTTGATGATGAGGGCTGATAAGAGAGGGGCTTTGATTTCTTCTTTGTGAAGCAACACGTGTGTCCAGGACGCTCTCTGTGACGACTTCTGATGATTTGAGAGCATGATTCGATTAACACGCAGCAGGATCCTTTGTGAAACTGCTCTGACTGTTGTAACAGCCGCAGCTGTAATCACACTCAAACGTCCTGGAGTGCCACTACCCGTGGCTGCTGCTGCAGAGGCAGCTCCTGGAAATGATTCTCCTTGTACTCATGGCAGATCAGTCCCAGTCACTGACCTGAGTAATAGCGATGCTCAGTACTGTATTGTCCCTCCGCCTTGTTGCCGTGGAGACAGCAGAAGAGAGTAGCAGCATGGCAAAGAAAAGGTTCTGCAGAGAGTTGAGGTGTCACAGAATCTCTGACCTTTCTGTCTGTGCGGCTGCCTGCACACCCATTTATAGTCACACACATGCACACACACACACACAGGGACAATGGCAGGCGAACAATGAAAAGAGGCTGTAGGTTTTCATGTCTCTGTTGAATTGCTCCCTCTCCATGTCCCCGAAAACCTGCTTTTCTCAGTCAACCTTAAAATTCTGCCTATTTTTAGTTGAGTAGCATCCCACACCTCCAGGGATCACATTTAAATCCCTGGTGCTGCCATTCAAGGCTGCTGTGGAAGCTGCATATCTCTGTGCCAAGGTCCAAACAGACCCCCCCCCACCACCACCACCTCAGAATCCTGGACTTACTTTTATAACTTTACTCCCAGTGCTTCGGTCTTTCTCAGCCCAACTCTCCTCAGAATACGCAATGATGGAGTGACCTCTGCGTGTCTTCTGAGCTCAGCCAAAAACTCAACAAGCTGTTCATGTACGATACTGTTCGGCTTCCCTTACAACTCAAAATATTACTGATGTTGCTACACACTGTCTGATCTATTCCTGCACTCCTCTGTCATGCAGTGATGGAAGGTACTGCAGTTACCTAATTTATAGAGGAATTTCTTTTTTGTCGCTTCGTGCTTCTCCTCAATGACATTTGAGAGAGAGATGTCGTACCTTTCATTCCTCCACATTTATTTGATAATCAGACTTAGTTTTATATCAAGAAACTTTTTTATAGCTATTCTGTAGAACATTTATTTTGGACACTTAAAATGCATTTTGATCACTATACATCTGTTCTTTTAGTTATGTGGGATTTGTTTGCTGAACGTTAACTTTAATGTATTTTAATATTGCTGATCTTGTACTTTGAAAAAATGCAACCGATACATCCCACCACCTCCCATCACCTCTCATTAAAACTACCCCCCCAAAACACATGAAAGTGCACAACATGTGGACAACTGCTAGAAGCAGATGTTTCCCTCGCTCGCTCGCTAACTCCTGACTATCGTCTCTGATTCAGCTGTGGATGTTTCTCAGCCTTAAGATGCACTGGGTGCGCTCAGGGCGGCAGGTTGGTTAGCCAGCCAATCATTTGATTCAGTCTGACTTTATTCATTGCTAGTTATCAGGACGTGAAGAGGATTTCAACAAATAAGATAAAAAACAACTTTACTTTAATGTACAGAATCTGAGTGCTTCTTCCTTTTTCTGCTTTCGTGCAACATTGTGGTACCATTACTTTGAATTGTCATTATTAAACTTTGCAAGCTTTCAGCTTTTCAGAACCCTGGTGGAAATGCTGGTTTCAGGGCACCTTTACAGAATAATTGTATTAAAACCTCGATCTAGCTTTTGTAGGTTTGGCATCATTCCTATCAATGATTATAAGACAGTACAAATAACAAGAGCAGCTTGATAATCAGAACATTTTCAGTTAACCCCCTTTTAGGCCAGCCGTGTATGATAGGGAAAATAAAAACAGCCCTGTTTCGCCCTAAGCCCTTCAGGCTCTCGTCAGGAAAGCCCCCTTCATTCACTCCTCCCTGCAGTGTCTCCCGGCGAAGAATCGTCTTTTCATCTTTCTGTCTGCCACATCCTCAGGTTTAATGTGTAATCCCTGCGTCGGCACAGAGGATGGCTGAGAGAAAGAGCAAATGCCCCGCACTCCACCGGGGCCGCAGCAGCTGCAACTTTCTCTTTCAGCACATTAGACTCACAAATCGACTGTCGGTGGGTCTCAGAGGCCTTGTGTGGGAGGCAGACGCACAAAATGAAGAAAGCGCTCAGGAGAGTACGATGAAGTACGAGCACGGCACAATACACCTGGACCGATTACTGCTCATAGCCCGAGGACACGGTTGCCATCCTGGGACTTCTCACGATATGACAGCAATTTTTCAAGGAAATATCTTGTTATATGACTTTTGTTTCAAAGAGATAACTTGAGACGGTCTAGACTAGATTATTGAATGCTCTCTCTCAGCTTTGTCACTAAAAAACAAAGTCACCTGTGTTGCTCTTTTCCTTACAATAACCTGAATTGTTTATTCAGTGTTCGTGTATATATTTAAAAGTGGCCGGTCTATGTTTGATTAAAATTTGCGGCGGTTGATCTACTCACCTTTTACTCCTCATTTGTGGTCATCAGGTCACTACAGGTCATTCTGCTGTTTAGCTCTGAATGTGACTAAACAACGTATTATCACATTTGTCTTTCATTTTGTGGCTGGAGCGATCCATCTAATGAGTTTCTGGCTCAGAGGATGTTCCCTCAAGCCTCTAAAGTCAGTCGAGCCTGAGCTGTCGACTCAACTAATCCACCTTTTCTTTGTCTTGTGCAGAGTACGCAGAGAGCATCGGAGATGGGAAGAGTGACGAGTTCAAAGAAGCCGAGCGGAAGAGGATCATGGACCTTGTCGACAGCTTCTAATCTCACTTTTTCTATCTTCAAATACACAAACAAATCCTTTCTTTCTCGTGAGAACATTGAAGCCCCCTCCGGTTCTGATCTGGAACCAGATTTGAACGGGACCTTGATCCAGTCGTCTGTTTTTCTGCGACATTCTGAAGGTAAAGTCACTGAGGACGTTTACATGCACGAATTTACTGCCCTGAGCAATCTAATGTTTTTTTTCTTATTTTTATTTATTTATTTTTAAAGGAATTACATGAATTACCTTGCCTCGATCTTTCACATCCACTTTGGGGAATAAAGAAAAATAAATTCAAAAAAGAAACTCACAATTAGATGTTTCATTAAATTCAATCTTATTCGTCCTGGTTAGAATCGTTGTTAAAATCCATTGACAATCGTGCATGTAAAATGTTCTCATCATAGAAGCAGTAGGAGATCAGAATATTATAGACTGACTGAAACACACAACAAACAAGAGACTTACTCAGAGCTGCAGATTCTGTTCAGTGGTGTTGGATATTAACAGACATTCCTCTCTCACTCTACCTGGTTCGTTTGTTTTTGAATTTTGCGTGTAAACTATTTTGTAATAAAACATTTGGTAATAAATTCCTTGATATTATCTAATGCATGTTTGATTATTGTCACTGTTGATAACCGTCTGTGCACATGAATCTCATTATAAGTGCACTTGGTTATTGTTGCACATGGGCATAGACAACAAAGCTGTATCTGTAAACACACACGGTCCTCACACAAAGACTGCTGCTTCTTTATTTGTGTCAACACTGCTGGCTCTCAGCAGAGCTCTCTGGAGGAGGTGTATTGTGGTTGAGCTGCACACGCAAATAAACTCACTGTTTTATTACGCTTGTGACAGTGACGGCCAAAGACACATTATCTCAGGAACGCCTTGAGAGAATTTCTTCAAATGTCCAATAATCGGTCACTTGGATGAACTGATTCGATTTTGGTCAAAGATCACTTTGACTGCACGTGTTTGACCATAATTCAATTTCTTCAACTAATACTTTCTTAACTACATACAAAATCAATCAATTAATCAGTTCTGAAGCGCATCTTAAAATAGTCTCATGACCTCTAGACCATGCAACTTCATTTAGCAAACGCCCTCTGCTGGTCATTTGAGAGAATACTGGTTTCAGGCATTTCTGCATTGCCTTCACTTTACGGACCTGGAGTCTACATCCATTGTTATATTCATCAGTGGTTTGAACTTTGTAGAGGTAAGTAGAGAACAGTGGGTTTTCTGGTTAATCACTGCAAACAAACGTTTAATGTTCAATTGATAAATTCTTATTGGACGACATATTATTACCAATTTCTGTTGTGCAGCATTTCAGAAAGTATCTGCAGAGAAAATGACTCCAATGACCAATGTTTTTAATCACATGCTTTTACAATATATGAATGTATTTTATTCATATATTATATATAGATGGACGATGCATCTCTTCCTCACATTGTTCAAAAATGATGCTAAAATATCTAATATGGAGCAACTGCATTAGCAATCAAGGTTGGGAGCTGCAGAATCAAGGTCTAGCCAATATACAAGCTATACAAGCAACCAATCACAACTATAGGAGGATAGATATGAACTGAGGCTTTTAGAGAAGCAAAAACATCTCTTACTCTCTCCCTCTCTCTCTCACAATCTGACAAACCTATCTCATTAACAGACTCATTACCTGTCCGTTGTAACATTTGCTCCCTCTCTCCCTCCTCCCTGGCCTCATCTGCTTTAACAGCCCTCCCCTCATCTGACTCTTTCTCGCTCATGCATCCTACCTCTGCTACATACATTCTCCTCTGTCGATTCTCTCTGTCCTCTTGTTTCACGACAGGTCCATAAGTCCTCCCCAGCTCGGTGGTTGTCTGACTCAGTGCTTGCAGACAGAGCCACTATGCGAGCTTCAGAAAGGAAATGGCGAAAATCTAAACATCCAGATGACCTGCTCATCTATCAACCCCAAAAAAACTCCACTTTTTCCAACCTCCTTGACCCCCCCCCAGTCCCCCTCCTCCTTCCACCCTTCTACCAAGTCACTTTGTCAACTACTTCTCAAGAAAGATAGATGACATATGCGCCTTCATTTTCACCCCCTGTACATTTCCATCAACTTCATCTTCATCTTCTTCCCCTTCTCTTTCCTCTTTCACCCCCGTCTCCCAATCAGGTTCTTACCCTGGTAACCTCCGCCCGTCCATCCACCTGCCCCCTTGACCCCATCCCTTCTCACATTCTCCAATCTATTGCTCCCGACCTTCTTCCTTTTCTCACCCATCTCATAAAAACTTCCCTGCTCACTGGCTGTTTCCCTAACTCTCTTAAGGAGTGTTGTATATTGAGTGGCAATGATGTGAAGATGATGAAGGAATCTCCGCTCACACCGTCTTGCTTGAATAAAAGGTTTATTACAAGAAGTTCAGCATCAATACAAGCACTGCAGTATGCCGTGAGAGAGATTCGGAGCCGATGTGAATCTCTTCTCCCTAACAGCTCCAACTCCCCGTTTGTATAAGGAGTGTTGTCGTCGTAATATTGAAAAAACTCAAATTAGAGTGGTAATTAGAGCCTTGACCTATAGACCTGATGCCCACACTTAGATTTTCTCAGGAACCTAAAGGCATATGGACCTCCAGATTATCAGGGCCTGTGGACCTCCGACCCATAATCAACTTCCTTCAGAGATAAAATCAACACATGGCTTTTCAGACACCAAGGAGGCACAGGTTCTGGTCGTGGCTCTAGTCATCTCACGCCTAGACTACTGCAACTCCTTCCTGGCTGGTCTATCCGCTAGTGCTGTCTGACCGCTGCAGCTCATCCAGAATGCAGCAGCTCGACTGGTCTTTAACTTACCTAAATTCACTGACATTACTCTGCTCCTCCCCTCCCTTCACTGGTTACCATCCGTTTCAAAACACTAGTACTTGCGTACCGTGCTGTGAACGGATCGGGTCTAGTCTACATCCAGTCAGCTTGCTGCTCCCTGGCTGCGAGCAAACCACCAAACAAAATCACGACTGTTTGCTGTCCTTGCTCCTAAATGGTGGAACAAGCTCCCCATTTACAACAGCACAGCAGAAATCTTCCGCCACAGACTAAAGACACATCTCTCCCGACTACACCTGTTTCAGAGGTCAAAAAAGATCTGTCTATTTCCACTGGGTTCATGCAAATACACTTTCTCAAAATTCTCTTAACTACACAAACGTCTTAAACACACACTGGTAAATTGTTCCTTTCTGTGTGATGAATGTTATCTGTTCACCAGCAGGTGCTTGTTGGTGAGATTTGATCATCAAAATAAATGTTGATGAAACCTTATATCTGCTTTATTTGTGGGGCCACTTCAAGTGCTGTTGTCCAAATCACTCAGACAATCTCCAAGTTATATGACTCATACAACAAGTCAGGATTACATAGATTTCAATCATAAATCACTGAAAACTAGAGAATGACACACATTGTCATTAAACACTCATATGTACCACTTACGAACAAATCCGTTTTTTAAAAATTATTATTATTATTTTATTTTTTTCGCGCTTTTATTTGGAGAGAACAGGAATATATGCAGTACAGGGATTCTAGCTCAGGCCTCTATGGGTGAGGCATCTCTCAAATCAATTTGTTTTGAGATCAAGTGACAGTAAATTTAAGTCGATATATTCACGATCATGGTTAAATTCAGTTTTGTCATCTTGCACTAGTGGCAATATGCTTTGTGCTTTACCAGCAATACTGAGTGGGCAAAGCTGGTTAGCCCATTTGTTTTCCCAATTTTTTCTCTCTCACTCATTGTGATCTGAAATTGAACTTGTTTACATGGGACTGATCAAAGCGATCTGAAGTCAGTGTGTTTCTATGAAATTTAATCTAAGTGGTGATAGATGGAGAGATGGTGAATTTCTTGTTAGCACTGTACTGATGACAGTTCCTTCGCTGCCTCTGAGTTAGACTTCAATGATTTGATATTTGCCTCTTTTATGCCCTGTAAAAGTGGAAATGACCTGAGACAGGAACTGAAAACCAAGCATGTATTTGTTGCTGTGAATGTGGTTTTCAGAAGACCTTGAATTGAATCTGATCTGTTGTCATGTCACACTTGCTCATACAGAACTAATTATATTCAATGGGTACATATGTGAACTAGTTTTTAACAAGATTTAAGGTAAACAACTTTCTCTAATTGACTTTTATAAGTTGTCTTCCCAATGTTAAACTATAACTGTTCACTTCTTACTCTAAATTCCTGCCTAACTCATTTTGTGCCACACCCTCTCTGGGTCCCTGACTATGATCCTGGCAGGAAGCCACAGTGACGGGAGGGAACGGGGGGGTGGCTCACTGACAGCCGTCACATCTGTTGCCTTTCCTAAGTGTCTTCACAAACTCTAATATCGCTTGGTAACAAGATGGGTAAAACGGCAGGGCGTCGTTTGCATATTGTATTGGCAGAGGAGGCTCGGCCCCATGCATCTCTTATCAGTGATTATGACTGTGGCGTGTTTAACAGCAGTTGTACAGCAATTTCACAGCCGAGGGGAGGGAGAATAATTGTATTTTCCGAATGAATGAGTGCAAACACTGTGCACCGCTGTGCTTTTGGGATTCTCTCCTTTAGTAGGGGACTGAGAAGAGAAGATATTCTGTTATTGAGTAAGCACACATTTGAAAAAAGTGCACAACAGGGGCATTGCAACTTAAAGCTTTGGTGTATACACAGGACTCTTGGATCTTTATATAAAGCTTTTGAGTGTCTGTACCTATAGCTTAGAGATACTCTCCTTCTTTGTAACCACTAGTGCAGTATAGGTCCACTACCACTGATCCTGATCATGTTAAAATGTGCCCTAAAATGAAATAACCTGTATCTGAACATTTGAGAAAAAAAAGCCTGTCTTTAACTGTCCAATCACTAACAGAGTCATGCAATAAAGAGGACAACAAAATGAAACAGGAAGAATGAGGCGCAAAACAACAGCATATTTGAGGGTTATATTGGGCCTCGCAGGACCAATCTGAGAGGCCCATTCTTTCCAGGTAATAGGACAATAAAATGCATTAGTGCATCCTTGCAAATTAAAGGTGAAACTGGAGCCTCCACGACATAATGATACCGTAGCTACCATGACTACGTGGCATCTATTCAAGACAGGTATTTTTTCATTTGTCTCTCTGCAATTCTACATGCATTTACTCCAGGAGAGCACGGGCAAAAAAATGCAAATTATCCCCTGGTGCAACAGAGCTAATATGGTAACTTCCTTAATTTTACAGATCTCTGGTCCCTGAAATCTACCATCTCAGAAATTTTAAAAAATTGATAATTTTAAATGTGAGAGATTTAGAAAGGATTATCCATATTTACTTCACACCTTTATTTCTGCAACAACCTTTTCTCTGGTCCCAATAGAAAAAAAAACTGAAATGACTTGGGGTGCCATGTTATCATTGTTCTATCATCTCTATTATTATTATAATTGTTATTATTTTTATTTTATAATTATTATTGTTATTTATACATCCTTCTTTATTTTAACCATTTGCTTTCTTGCTGTTATGAACTTTATACCTTTTTTTGAAAAGTC